GATGCAATTGCAGAATTTGTCCTGGATAAAATATGTTTTATAAATGGACCCTTTTCTTTCCTTGTTTGTTTTACAGAGTGGAGACTTCTACCATTGATTTTATGTGCTGTCCCTGGGTGTGTTTGTGAAATCAGACAGCTGCAGTGATAATATAAAGGGTGTGTAACATTGTTTTCCTTTCTATATCAGTCAGCCTTCACCAGTACCAGTTTGGGGTTTCCGTGCAGTAGTCAAAGGAGCTTGGAAAGAAAAGCGTCTGAACTTCTTTAAGTTGCTTGAAGACATTTCATCTCTCATCCGAGAAGCTTCTTCAGTTCTAAGGTCAAAGGGTGGAGAGTCCCAGATTTAAACCCAGTGGGAGTTTCCCCCCAAAGAGGGACAAAGGACAAGGGACGCGACGAAGGCTGTCCAAATTCGTAGACTTCTCCACATGTGGCCAGCACATGCGTCCTCCTTCCCCAGATTTGAAGGATGGATCAGGGGTATCTCTCATGTCCCACCATATCCCAGCCGATTCCAGTTTTCCAACAATGGCGACAGCTATTACTCTTATTACTCTTTCTCGGTCACAAAATAAACTTTTAAGATATTTTCAGGCAACAATGTAGCTGTGTAAACTTCAAATATCTGCTTGGTTTATCAACACATCACATATTTGTAAAAGTGCCTCTGATGTTTTTGGAGACGTATGTTACCACCAGCTAGCCGGGGTTCAAGGCACACTAAAGCCGGCGAGAATAGTGGACTAGTTTTCAGACCCCCACGGTCTTTCGCTTCTCAGGTTGAACGTGATTTATAAGTCCTTCAGATAACTTAAAAACTTTATTGTTTGATTTTTTTGGGGTTTTATTTGATCATGAGTAAATTGGTTTGGCTGAGACTAAAGTTAGAGTTTTCACACAGCTGAATAAACGTCAAAAAGAAAACTGATTAATCAGAAGTGTGAGATGGTAGAGAATTTACTCCAATGTCCTGTTATAGTTTAGATAGCAAGGAGCAGACAGCTGAGTTTTTTAAACTTCACAGAGACAGTGGTGATGCAAATCTGAATGCTAGACCATCCCATTTCATAGCCTCGAACTTCCAGCCTTTTCGGTCTTCGAGGACCAAGCCCACATAGACCGGGAAGGCTGGGTCCTCCGAAGGATGCAGCATAGGTTTTGGCCTCACTTCGAGGCAACTGGTCACAGTAGATGGCCGCCCCGCCCTGAGCCTGGTTTCTTCCTGTTAAAAGGGAGTTTTTCCTTACCACTGTCACCAAAGCGCTTGCTCACAGAGGGTCATATGATTGCTGGGTTTTTCTCCATTTGTATTTTTATTATTGTAGGGACTACCTTACAACATAGAGTGCCCCGAGGTGACGGCTATTTTGATTGATATTAATAAAGTTGAATTGAATACAGGTTGATTATTTACACTGTTGAATTCACAAAGGTCAAACCTCTAAATCAGCTAAATAAAATTCATAAATCCCACAAAACCACAACAAAACAAACAAACAAAACAAGTGATGGACTAGATAAATGCCAGTAGTTGCATATTTTCTCAGTTGGTGAGACCGACTATGAGTCAACACTATAGCCAAAAACTGAGGTATCGCTGTATGTGTTACATTCTTATCTCCAATGACTGTTATGTTTGTTCAGTTCAGCAGCAAAAATGGATGAGGAGAAAAGGAAGCGATCTACATTCAGACAGTCATCCAGTGGGACTGAAGCCAGGTAAAAATGACCCATATAGGACACACACACACACACACACACACACACACACACACACACACACACACACACACACACACAGGGCGAGAGAGAGAGGGGGAGAGAGAGAGAGAGAACAGTGTCACTAACAAAAATTAGTTCTTACATTGTCTGTTCTTCTTTGTTATTTCACATGTTTAACTTTGGTCATTTTGGTAATTTAATCTTAATTAAGAGAAACAGTCTGAAAAAGCATCAGTCCTTAAAATTCTGATCAAGATTTTTTAATTATTATTGTATTGTGTAAGACAGATGTTGTTTATTGTGTGTTGAGAAATAGTCAGTTTGCTGTTGGGTCATGCTGTTAAAGCTGATTAACCCTCTCAAGGCAGGCGTTGCCGATTTGCAACAGTTAAAAACTAACAACCTGATTACCCCACATACATATTTTATGGGGTTTTTTTTACTTTTTTTTTAGAAGTACCACTGCAGGACTTGGTTGTGCATTTGCAACAAAAACTTAATTTGAGCCTGAGAGGGTTAAGAGAGCTTATAAAACAGACAATCCTATTTAAAGTTGAAGTTTCAGTAAGAGGAGAAAAATAAAGTGATAAAAAAACATCTCTCCTTCAACTGAAATGTCTTGTTATTCCTTACTGCTGAAATTGATGCTAAACTGTTTTCTGAAAAGTTACTCCAAGTAAGATCGTAAATGTTCCATTTGTGCTATTATATTGAAAGTCCTGACAAACAAAACGAATTAAGTAATGTCAATGTCAGTCCGTAAATAGATTATTCTTTGCCTAGTTCACAGTCTACGGCGTCTAGATCTGCAGCTCCCAGGAAGATTTCTTTAAAGAGTGACAGTAACTTCTAACAAGTTTTGATCTCATAAAACTTTCTTTCCCTCTAGTTCGCAGATGAGTACTGCTCCTAGCAAGATGTCCCTCAGGAGCAACAGATCCAAGTTCGAGCCAGTCGGCTTTAAAGATGAAAGGTTAAAACAGAAATCCTAAATTTTGAACCGTGGTTTGAAATAGTTGAGTTTTGAACCATTTGTGACAATTTGTGAACATGGGTCTTTCTATCATAATTATAGTCATGAACATAGTCATTTGTCCCTGTGAGGCAGTTAAAAGCAAACCTTAAGGATCTCCAGCAGTAGTACCAGGTGATCAGAAGTTATTCAAATTGGGTAACCCAGGTGGGAGAGCAGTTTGTGAAGGCCATGGATCGGGGACTTTTGGAGGCAAGTTCTGGCAAACAATGATGACTGAGGAAGGACAAGTAGGGGATGAGTGTTATTCATGTACCCAGGCACCAGGGTTTGATCATATTACCTCCAAGATTCTGAAGGTTTTGAACACTGATGGTCTGCTGACACAGTGCTTCTGACTGACTTAATGCAGAATTGCCTGTTCAAATGACCTGTGTGCTGGAGTATGTGTATCCTGCTTTATAAAAAGAGTATTTGGACTACAGTTACTCAGCTACCGCACTGCAAAACCGTATTTTAAAAGGCTTGAAGAGATTAAAAAGCTTCTATACATGAAGCTCCAATCAATTACCTAACCTCAGGTCCACCAGGGATCGCGTCTTAGACTACCATGACCTGGATGACTGAGAATCTATGCAGACAACTTATTGTTATGGAAAAACAGAGAAAAAAATATCCATTATTGTGCTATAGTAAGGCAAGGCAAGGCAAGGCAAGTTTATTTGTATAGCACAATTCAACAACAAGGTGATTCAAAGTGCTTTACAGAGACATTAGAAACAAGAACAAATAAAAAGCAGTAATTAAATTAAGGTCTAATTTGTAAACCCTCCTACAGACCAGTAACTGAGAAGCCATCCACCTGTCCAGTTTGCAAAGATGTTATGAAGAATCCAGTTCAGCTCAGCTGTGAACACTGGTGCTGCAAACTGTGTCTCAGCTCAGACCTGGATGAGTCTGTGTCACCAGCAGACTGTCCTTGTCCTCAGTGTGGGAAGAAATCCAGAAAAACATTAAAACAAGAGAAAGACAAGGAGGGAGACACAGGTAAGCTTACATACTTAAGATCACTACTATCTCTACTACTGCAAAAAAAGAAAAAAAAACTTGCTACAGACAAGAGTGAGTCAGTGTTGGAATCATTTATTAAATGTAACTTTTAATGATAAAGTTAAGTTTGTTAGGGAGCTTAAAAGCAGTTATATTCTGAAAACATGCATTAAGTGCAAGAGTATCAGGGTTTTGCTAACTTGGGTGCATTTATAAAGAACTTTTATACCTTATTGCTCATTTAAAGCAATCTGCAAACCAGTACTTAAAATGAAAAATGGAAGTCCCAAAATCAGGTCAGGAATTTCTTATCCTGCATTTTTCTTTGACCAAATTAAAGCGATCTGGTATTAACCACCTGAGCATCTTTGATGCATTTCACTGCATTACAGATAAAATTGATCTTTTGGAGGCAAAGAAGAAATTAAAAGAAGCAATGAAAGAGAAATATTCCTCAGTCTCTGAAGGTAATGGTGACAAGCCGAGTTCACTGAACAA